CCAGGACTCGGGTTCGCCATCGTTTTTTGACGACCGCGCCTCGGATTTTGACGAGGAGGAGTTTCGTGGGATGTCTGCAGCGGGAGGCCTCGTCAAAATGCAGGCTCGGCCTCGTCATTTTTTTGACGACCTCGTCGGGGATTTCCGAGTCCCCTGTACCCAGGTCTTACGTCCCCCCGATTACAGGAAGAGCGCCCGGCCTCCCCTCCCTTCGGCCGGCCGGCTTACACACGCACTTACCACAGCAGATCCGCTCAACGGAATTTAAGCCATGGCTCGAGGTACATCGTTTATCCGCCGGGACCTTACGGCTTCCATTGAGCAATATGCATACGAAATTCATGAATGATAACGTCCTGAAATGATTAACCGTACGAAGCTTTTGCCGGAGTCCGCGATGGTTGGGCAAAGCACCTTTGCCGCCTGAGCGCCGCGACCATGCGGTCGCGAGTCCTGCAGCGCGACAGAAGTATGAGGAGGAGAAGGAGTGACGGAAAGCCAGATCTCCAGAGGATTATTGTTTTGGTTTCTTTGCTTAATCCTGGTTTCTCCAGTTTTGGCCTGTGGGGGCCTTATCTTGGGCCCGGGGGGAATTCATGCATCGACTTCGGGTGAAGATTTGCCCCGTGGAAAGCGCTGGGGAGATCGTGATGGGGTTCACCTCTGGAGTAGCCCACGGGCCACTAAGGGCGCTCAAGCTGGGGCTTCCAGGCGGATGCACCCGTGGCCACGAAAGTGCCAAACTTTGAAGCTCGAATCTCGGTCTCTCTGTCCTCCTCCTCCTCCTCGCCCTCCCCACCTCCTCCTTTTCTTCCTCCTTCTCCTCCTCCTCCTCCTCCCGCGGAGGAGGAGGAGGAGGAGGAAGGGGAGGAGGAGGAGGGATTGACTTTCCAAGGGGTTCGAGGATCGAGGACTTGAGTTTGATGTAGTTGTTCATATTCTTCGGGCCTCTGGAGGAATTCGCTTCGAACTTCTAGAACGCACCCGCATGAGTTCTGGAGGGCCGGTTCTGGAGGAAAGTATTCGGGAGGTGTCTCGCCTGTTCCGGCTTTTTCGGGGCCCTCCCCAGGCCCCAGGGCCTTTACAAAACATGCCCAGGAGGAACAATCGGTGGCGGAGAAATCTTTGGGGTCCTGGCCATTGTTTCCACCAGGATCTCTTTCTTACACGCCGATGAATTTTGCTGGAGGAAGAGGGGGGAGGATGAAGTTCGGAGGTTCGAGGATGGAGGATCGAGAGGTTTGCTAATTTTCACGCGATTTGGTTTTTTGGGGGCCTCTTCGTCGCCACTGCAAGATCCGCCTCGAAACTCTGATCAGAACGCATCTCAGGAGGGGTCCAGGGATCGATTATGTAAGGGGTGCAGGAGTATTGGATGGGAGACGTCTGAGCGGGGACAACTCCTTTTCCTCCCTTCGGTCTTCCCCCTGCTTCCTGCGGAACTTCTGTTATCCTCGTCGTCTTGGTTGCCCGTACTTAGAAGCGTTATTGCGAAGGCCCTACGGCCGCTGCCGCCGACCCTGAAGGAGGAGGAGGACGACGACGACAAAGACGACGACGCTGACGTGGGTCAGAGTCCTCAGGGATTATGTTTGGGGTCTCTTCGGAGCGCCCTCGGAGGCCTCTGGGGGACAGTTTGGGGGGCCCATTGAGAGCATCTTGGGGGCCTCTTGGGAGCCTCTTGGGAGCCTCTTGGGGGCCTCTTGGAGCCTCTTGGGGGCCTCTTGGGGACCTCTTGGAGCCTCTTTGGGGCCTCTTGGGGACCTCGTGGAGCCTCCTGGGAGCCTCTCGGGGCCGAAGGCTCGAACTGTTCGTTTGGGTCCCCTGTCAGGGCACCCTCTTGGGGACCTCTTGGGCCGTCTTCAGGCCATCTTTGGTTCGTTTCGGGACCCTCTTGGAGGCCTCCTGGGGCGATCGTTGGAGCCTCTTGGGCCGTTTTGGAGCGTCGGGAAGCTGAAAAAGCGAGAAAGCCCAAATCTTTGAACAACTTCAGGAGAATCAATACATTGTGCCTCTTTGGGCTCTCTTGGGAGTGCTCTTCGAGGCCTCTCGGGCCGTCTAGAGGCCCTCAAGACGTCTTGGACCCGTCGGTCGGCGATTCTGGGTCCTCTTGGACTGTCAATGAGGCCTCATGGGCCACTCTTGGCTCGTCTTGGAACGTTTTTTTGGCCCCGGGCCCCCCCCCAAGGGCGGGACCCCCCCTCGACCCCCCCGGGACGCCCCCCCCCCTGGCGGGGATGGAATCAAAGGGAAGGAGCTTCCCTTCGACTCAATTACGACGTTGCTCGTTTTGGCTGGCGCGCTGGAGGAGGAGGGCCCAGGAACAGGGGAGGGCGGGCACGGGCCCAGGGAACGAGAGGGAGCGGCGGCGACGTCGACGAAGACGAGTCGAACGAAACAGCCGCTTCCACACGCCGACAGGGTCGGCGGGTCTTAGTCTGGCGTCGGCTGTTAACTAATGAGGCGACCAGGTCGCCTCGGCTGTCTACGGAGGAGGGAGGAGCAGGACACTGTCATATCAGTCCGGGCGTTGTTTGCGCTTTCCGGGCTTCGAATGCTCCAATTTGAAGTTCCGCCCAGCGAGGATGTCTATCCGTGGCTTGTCCCTCTCTCTGCGGTGGTCCAGAGGCAAGGGGCGGCCACCACGCCAGACTGCTAGCCACATCCCGTCCATAATCAGGCCAGGAGGGATTGTTGCTGCCTTGGGTGTGGGGGGGGGGCTCATTTCGACTCCTGCGACTCGATTCGATTCGATTTGGATTTCGGTTTCTCAACAGAGGCTTGGCTGGCCTGCCGATTTCCGCCCATTCGATCTCTCCCGGCGCGGCAGGCGATGGACGCCGATCCGGTTCATCTCGATCGCTGCTCCGGCTTGTGGATTCGATTCTGGGCCCTCCTGGGAGGGAGGGGCAGCCCTGTCCCGCCAGGCCCACTGGGGGTTGCTACAGTTGAAGCTGGCTGCTGCCCTGGAGCGCTCGCGCCGAGTCGGCCGTTGGAGACCCATTGCGCTTCTGAGCGTCGGAAGCCTCGTGCAGCAACGTGCCGCTGCAGCCGCACCGCAGTACGGCAGGCTCGCGCCGAGTCGATCCAGAGTCGGTCGATGTTGGAGGATCTGACGTGCAGGAGACGGCCGATGGTTCAGGGCTGAACGATCCCCGCGGAGTCGGGCACGAACCTGCCGTGCTTCACCACCCACCAAACCACCCCAACCCAACCCGAAGGCCTCAAACATCGAGAAACCACATCTGGGAAACATCGAGAGAACACATCTGGAACCCGTACCCCCCCCCCCTCTGACCCGAAATTCGGGTCTTCGGGTTGGGTTGGGGTGGTCTGGTAGGTAGTCCGTACTCGACGGCGCGCGCAGCCTCACCCGAAGCCTCCGGCGTGTCGTCCTTTCTCTGCCCGGCGGCACCGCATCGGGGCACGGGGCCCCGTGGCGTTGCACCTCGGCGCGGCCGTCTTCCGGTGCGCGGCCCTGCCCCGACCTGCTTCCGCCCAGATGGTCTGGTACCGGAAATTTTCGGTAGCGATTTCGACGCACCCCGAATTTCGGTAGCGACCGGATCTTCGTTTGAGGGCGTTGAAATAGCGGATTTCAGAACGCTCTGATACCAGTATTGGGCGCTACATTTCGGTATTTCGGTAGCGACCGATCTCTGCGGAGCGCTACCGGAAATTTTCGGTAGCGGACCATCAGGGCGCGTTCTCTCCTGCGGGCTACAGTTAAGTCGGGCCTGCCCTCCCCTCTACAGGGGGATTCTCGACGAGAAATAAAAAAAGTACCCCCAAAATAGTCAAACAATAGTCCCGAGATGGTCTGGGGGCTATGTTTGGAGTGTTTGTTGGCATGTTTGGTGTGCTTTTGGGATATTTCTTTATTTTTTCGTCGAAAATCCCCCTGTAGGGGGACAGGCCCGACTTCAGGCTAGAGTTGTGATGTTCCAGCCGACCTCAGCCTTGACCACCAGAAAGGATTCTGAGCACCAAGAAGGTACCGAAACTACAGGGTTTTCACGCGCCGGGCCCTGAGAGACGATGCTCGTTCGGCACTGTCTCGATGCTTTTCTGGGTGCCCGTAGGGTTTTCACGCGTCGGGCCCTGAGAGGCGACGCTCGTTCGGCACTGTTTCGATGCTTTTCTCGGTGCTCGAACTCGTTTCTGGGATGTGGTCCTTAAGGGCGATGCGAGCAGCACAAGGCTCGAGGCGGTGTCGGGGGCGCGTCGGGATCCTTCCCTCTACGGCTTTGCTCAGCGATGGTGGCGCCGCCGTGGTGGATCTTGAACGGCGTCACGCCCGAGGGGCCGGACACCTGAGGCCAGGAAAGCACGCACAGCTCATCGCGCCAACATCGCAGAGCGGATCTCGCTCGGGAAACGGTATTCGTTCCAGATCTCGGGGTGAATTTCGTGTGGATGTTTTTCGCCAGGAATGAAGACCAAACAACATCCACGCGAAAGTTGCTTAGTTTTTCGCTCGCCGCTTCGGGAAACAAATCCACGCAGAAATCCGCTGCAGCACGTCTGCAAGGCCAGTGCAATGACACGGCCCTCGAGCATCTTGGAAGACGCAGAATTACGGTCGGACTGAGGTACAATACCGAGGTCGGTTCGGGGAGGGTGCCCTAATGTTCTTCCTGTTTGTACGGATGCTCCTATGCGTCCTGGGGGAGGGTGCCCTCTAGTGTTCTTCAGTTTGGACGGCGGAGGGTCCCATGTTCTTGAAGGATGTTCTGCTGTCCTGGGTCCTGCCGTACCTGCATTGGCCGCTGGGCCCTGGGGACCGCCAGAGTGCCATCTGGGACAGAAAGCCCATGCGGCCGGTTTTTCGAGAGTGTGAGGCCCGCGTTTTTTGTTGTGTCTCTGTGTGTGTTCTTGTTGTTTGGTTTCCGACAGAACAGACATTGGAGGTCTGGGTGCTGTGGAGGGGGTCCTGGCGCAGCCGGAGACGCCGTCTGCGTACCTCCGATGTGGACCCCATTGCCCCGTAGGACAAGGACATGGGCACCTGGACGGCCATCAGCTTCTCCCCCGCGCAGCAGGACAGAGGGGTGGAGATCGGTGATCCTCGGGACGAGCGCTGCGTGTGTCTACCCCGCCCAGCTCCACCGATGTCACGCAGCTGGTGTCGGCTACCACTGCACAGCCTTGGGCCGTCCTGGAGGGCTCCGGTGAACGAGCGAGCACACTTGTTTTTTGCCTGCGCGAGAGGGTCGCCCCGTGGCTCGGGAAGAAAGAGGAGCGTAGCAGGGGAAGGGAGGAGAAGAAAAGGAGAAGGCAGTAGCAGAAGCAGCAGCGCCGGGGAACAAGCACACGGTGGCGCTGGCACTCGTTCGGAGGACCATCGGCGGGAGCATGCGCCAGCACCAGGGCGCCCGCTCGGCCCCTCCGTGCCCAAGCCCTGGAGAGCGCACGGCTCCGCGGCCCGGCCCGGGGCCGATGCACACGACGCCCAGGTCTGTCGGGGTTGGACAGAGCCCCCAACAGTGACACGTCGATTAGTGACTTGTCCGTTTTCGGTTCTCGAGAGGGCGCCGTGGCCGTCATTTTCCAGGCCTGCGCCCGCCAGGTTTGGGCCTCAGGTCGTTCTCACTAAACCACGTTTTGCTGAAGGGGGGTCTATCCATCCCCGAGTCTGGGCGCCCAGAGCAGGCTTAAGTCGGGCCTGTCCCTCTACAGGGGGAACCTTCGAAAACAGCAGCAAGAAAATATTCTGGGGATGATTGTTTTTGAGTATTTTTGGGCACGTTTGGAGCATTTTGGGGGGGGAAATTTTTTCCGTCCATAATCCCCTTGTGTGGGGGACAGGCCCGACCTAAGAGTAGACCCGCCGTAGGCCCGTCGGTCGTGGCCGTGTCCTGCCGCTCCCTTGCAGGAGCAGTTCGGCGTCAACGAGTCCGGCGAGGCCCGGCGGCGCGCGGCAAGAGCCAGCCACGCGCAGAGGGGGGAGGGGGGGGAGGGGGAGGGCTTCTCAGAAGCACCCCTGGTTCTTAGAAGGCGCGGGCCTCATCTCTAGATATATATATATATATATATATATATATATATATGGCCGGCGCCTTCTAAGAAGCAGCCTCCTTCTACGAAGCCCTCCCCCTCCCTCCACCCCCTTGTGCGCGCCGCCAAAAGAGAGGGGGAGGGGGGCGAGCCTCGTTCAAGGGCCCCTTGAACGGCGTGGTGGTGGTGACCACACCGCGTGGTGAGTCAGTGGGGGTACGGGGTCACTCGGGTCGTTCTCCGAGGTTGTCTCGGGCGACCGGGGCCTCCAGGGCCCCAATGAAACGACGCGAAGATTGTGACAAAATCGGATCGGGATAGCTCGAAATCTCTGAGAATCAGCGGGTTTGGAGGATGTATTGGGCGCCGCGGCCGCTCCAGAGCGTTCCGGAACGCTCTGAGAGCGCTCCGGAACGCTCTGGAGCGATTGATCCCGATCTTAGCCCTGTTTTACCCAAGGCCGTCCGGTGACAGACCGCGCGCTGGGGTCTCTTGGGATTTCGAGGTCACCGCGCAGTGCGTCACCACACGGCTTGGTGGCCCCCAACAGGTGTTGCTAGAAGGGATCTTGGCCCAAGGTGTCCCCAGCTTTTCGCGCCGCTCTGGAGCTCCTGGGGCGCGCTGGGTCTCGTGAGTCGGGGGTGGACGGTGGACAGACCTCCTACCCTGACACGTCGATTAAGGAATTGGCCGTTTTCGGTTCGCGAGAGGGCATCGCGGCCGTCATTTTTGCGGGTCCAGGTCCGTCGGTTTCGGTCCCAGGCCGTTTTCATCAAGGGGAGGTTTACTACGGGGAGGTTTGTCCACCGCCGAGTGACGGGCGCTCTGAAGGCCACCCGTGCCCCCCCAGAGATTCTGCGGACACGCTGGGCAGGGGAAACTTACCAGGTCCAGACATAGTAAGGATTGACAGATTGATAGCTCTTTCTTGATTCTATGGGTGGTGGTGCATGGCCGTTCTTAGTTGGTGGAGTGATTTGTCTGGTTAATTCCGTTAACGAACGAGACCTTAACCTGCTAAATAGTTACACGTAACTTCGGTTACGTGGGCAACTTCTTAGAGGGACTTTGCGTGTCTAACGCAAGGAAGTTTGAGGCAATAACAGGTCTGTGATGCCCTTAGATGTGGGGCCGTCGTGGCCCTCTCGATCCGAGGGGCACGTGGCCCTGCTCTGAGCTCCGCGAGCCCCCCCTTGGCGGTCTTCTTTGAGGGCCGCCTCGCTTTCCCGCCCGCCCCCCTCCTCACCACCCACCAAACCACCCCAACCCAACCCGAAAGCTCAAATTTACCGTCGATTTCCAGTGGGGGGGGGGTCGGGGAACATCGAAAAAACACGCGTGGAACCCTTACCCCCCCCAACCCGAAATTCGGGTCTTCGGGTTGGGTTGGGGTGGTCTGGTAGGTAGTCACCTCCCCTCATTCGATCCGAAAACTTATATGTTTTGCATGCAGTCGCCCGGTTGGCGCGTTCAAAGTTCTGGGCGTTCGATTCGACGCGCTCTTCTACGACGCCTGCGTGCAGAAATGTGAATGGCGCGTCCATGTAATGACACGGGCGACTTGCAGTTTTTTTAGCACACGTATTTTCCTATATCGTGTTTATTTCGCATCAAGGTCGCTTGGCGCCCGTGGACGCAGAGTTGATTAGATTATTACGGATCATTTTGATTTCGCACAGCAACATTTCGTCTCACTTCGCTCCCAGTCCGTTTTATGTCGATGCTGTACGTCATGCGTCGCAGGGCGCGCGCGCTGCGCGTTCGCCGTGCACGTGGGTATTCTGTGCCCCTCAATAGTTCTGGGGGTACCTGTAGTCCGGGGACGGTACCTGTAGTCCGGGGGAGGGGTACCTGTAGTCCGGGGCGGGGTACCTGTAGTCCGGGGGGGGGGTACCTGTAGTCCGGGGGAGGGGTACCTGTAGTCCGGGGGGGGGTACCTGTAGTCCGGGGGAGGGGTACCTGTAGTCCGGGGGAGGGGTACCTGTAGTCCGGGGCGGGGTACCTGTAGTCATCTGCTTCTCTCCCCCCTGGCCGACCGACCCGCGTCCGCCGAACACTCCGCTCCCTCGACGTGCGGATGCGGGCCAGCCTCCGGGGCCCCGCCGTGGCGACGAGAGGCCCCCAGAGGGTCCGGCATCCCGCTCCAGCGGCGTCGTCGCCGAGGCCGCCGCCAGCAGCAGCGTGGGGGGGTATGGGGGTAGAGGGGGGGAGGAGGAGGAGGAGGAGGAGGAGGGAGAGGAGAGGAGGAGGAGGAGGAGGAGGAGGAGGAGGAGGAGGAGGAGGGAGGAGGAGGGAGGAGGAGGAGAAGGGAGAGGATGGGGGCGAGGAGGAGGAGGAGGAGGAGGAGGAGGGGAAGGGGGAGGGTTCGCATGTGGCCCCCAGGTTCGGGCCGGACGAAGGGTGGGGATTGGGAGAGGCGGGGTTACGGAATCTGCTGCATGCAGCTGGCTTCGGTCCCACCGAGGGGCCCGTTCCTCGATACATAGCCGCCTCTGGCGCCGGGAGGCGCCAGGAAAATCAGCTACGTGAGCTGATTCTCAAACCCCCCCTTTGCTATCCCCCCTTTTTGCCCGACCCGACAGGTGCAGGACCAGGCCAAGTTCGACGCCGCCATCGCCGCCCTGAAGGCGCCGGCGGCAGCCGCCGCCGCGCCAGCGGGGCTCCCGAAGCTGGCCGTGGCCGAGGCGGAGGCGCTGAGGGCCCTGAGGGATCCCATCATCATCGACGCCCGGGACCAGGACGAGGTCGATGTCGGAGGCCCACGAGTTGGCACTGGCGATCGAGGATACTCCGGATTTCACAATAAAAGGGTGGTGGTCTGATTTTTGAGGGGGGTCCGATCTGAGCTGTTGTGGAGGGTTCCAGTGGGGTCTGGGCAAAAGGCCGCCCTTTCATGGCTGGTCCGGGGGTGGTTAAAACTGCTCGTCTGGGAGGGTTGTGACCCCCTCCCTTTTATTACGAAATTTGGAACACGGTCGGGGGCAATGTTGGGGGGGGATACGCCCAGGGGGCTGGTGCATCCACACTCCACTCGCCCATGGATCGCCGGAAGGGGCCCGACAGCCAACCCGCCCAGAAAGGTGCGGATTCGCTATCGGGGACTTGCGGCCGATCTATCTGCGATGCATCGCCGATTCCCGGTCGCTATTCCCTCCCCTGGTTCATTTCCCCCGTCAGGCTCCTCTTCCTACTGGCGTGAGGGCTCCTGGAGGGAGGGCTTCGGAGGCTTCTGCTGGGCACACTGCAGTCGGGACCTCCGAGAACCCGACGGGCGTCCAGAGACCTCCGGGAGGCCCAGACGCGTGGATCACAAAAGAAATCATGGGCATACACGTTCGGGGTCCGCGGGGTTTGTTCTCGCGGTTGCGGGCAGACTCGATCCCGAGTGGGGCACGGTGCCGACCCAGGAAATCCGCACGGGTTTCCGATGATGTTGGTGTTGCTTGGTTCTTTACGGGCGTTGGCATCGACACCAACGTCGGGGGCCGCCGAGGGATCGGTGACGGGGGTTCTCTGCCATCGATCCCTTGGGTGGCCTACATGCTACCACCATGCAGTGCCTTTGAGTCCGGTGGCATCTTCCCCCAGTGGGGCAGCGAAGGCGACCCTGCTGGTGCGGCTGCCACCTCCTTGGCCTCCGAGCGATGCGCAGAAGGGTGGGCCTGCGATTGAGGGATCCAAGCACGTTCCCGTGAACATGGACGGTGTCAAGCAGTCGGCGTTGGGAGGGCAAAGAGGCACCGACACCGCTGCCCCGCGGACCTCTCCTGGGGCGCGGTCTGACGAGGACGTCGAGGGGAGACTCCGGCCGTGGCCGCGCGGACTCTTCCAGGACGAGCCGCGGCATCGGTAGCTCCCCCCCCCCCCCGCTGGAGGAGCACCCGACGACCACGGAGGAGTACCAGAAGAAGCTCCTCGACGCCGGCGTCCTGCCAGACGACAAGGGCGCCGCCATCATCACGCACTGCGGCAACGGCGGCCGGGGGGGCAGGGCGGCAGCGGTGCTGCGGGAGCTGGGGTACCCCAACGCCCACAACGGGGGCAGCCCGGACAACATCCGCAAGGCCCGCGCCGCGTCGTGACGGCCCTGAGGCCCTTGCCCTCGGGGCGCCAAACGTACACTTGCCTTGAGGTCCGGACGTTGCAACTTTCGGGCCGGGCGAAAGTGGGGATTGGGAAAGGGGGGTTACGAAATCTGCTGCATGCAGCTGGTTTCGGCCCCACGGAGGGGCCCATTCCTCGATGCATGGGCGCCTCCCGGCGCCGGGAGGCGCTGGTCAAACGACGCGAAGATCGGGACAAAATCGGATCGGGATAACTCGAAATCTGTGAGAATCGGCGGGTTTGGAGGATGTATTCGGCGCCGCGGCCGCTCCAGAGCGTTCCGGAACGCTCTGAGAGCGCTCCGGAACGCTCTGGAGCGATTTATCCCGATCCTAGCCCTGCTTTAGCCGGGAAAATCAGCTGCGCGAGCTGATTCTCACCCCCTCCTTAAATTTGCGATCCCCCCCTTCCGCCCGGCCCGAGGGTCGATCGGAGGCCCCCCCTCTCCACGCGGAGGTCCCGGGCAGGCGGCGCTGCCCGGCGGAGAAGGGGGACGGGGCAGGCGTGCGGTTGGCGCCCGCCGGCCCCGGGCGCGGGCCCCGGCGCGCCCCCCCCCCCGCGCGGGAGAGTCGGCCTCGGCGCGCCCGCTGCGCCTCGGCGCGGCGGCCCCGAGGCCACTGCGCCCCGCGGCTGCGCGGCGCGCGCGCCGCGGCGTGGCCTCCGCGGCCCTGCGCGCGCGCGCGCGCGCCTCGGGCGCCCCGGGCGCCGAGCTGGGGCTCCTCGGGGAGGGGTCCTCGTGCTCGGGGGAGGCGGAGGTGCGGCGGCGAGGATGAGGAGGGGGAGGCCTTCTCAAAAAAAGGCGGCGGGGGTTCTCAGAGGAAGTCCAGCCCTCTGAGAGGTTTGCCGAGTCTTCGGGCCAGGCTTACTCAGAATACTTCTAAGAACGCCGGGGGACTTCCGAGCCTTCTGAGAAGGCCCGCCCCTTCTCACTTCCCCCCCCCCCAGGCTCGCCGCCGAAATCTACCAATACAGTTACCCTTGCCTCGTTTTCGCCGAGCTGGGCCTCTTGGGAGGCCTTCGCCGCCACGGCTGGATTCGCTTCGAATTTCTGATCAGAACGCACCCCAGGAGAGGTCTGGTGAGTCGCGTTTTCAGTGCCTCTTGGTTTCCACAGGAGGGGTCCTCGTGCGTTGCCGCTTGCGGTGCTGAGCTCTCGGCTCGGGCCCGGGGCGCAACCGGAGCTCGCTCCTCCGCGGCCACACCGCCCTCGCCCCCACTGCCGCCGCAACCTCCTCGTGCGCCTCCTCCCCCTCCTCGTCCAGCACGTTAATTGTGTGTATATGTATATGTATCGAAGACGCCTACGGCGAATCACCGCCGCCCCCTGCCTTTTTGAAAAACAACTCTGTGGCCAAACGTTTGAGTCCAGAGCTTGGATAATTTATCGGACCAGGTGTTTCCCGAGCCGCTGTGGGCACCTTTCGGGGAGCACTTGGAGGAGCATGAGGCGGAGAATCAGGAGAGGGAGGAGGATCAGAAAGGAGGAGGAGGAGGACGAGGACGAGGAGGAGGATGGGGAGAGGAGGAGGAGGAGGAGGAGGAGGAGGAGGAGGAGGAGGAGGAGGAGGAGCAGTTGTGACCAGGCGTTATGGCAAGAGCTCTGCCAATCTATCAGACCATGTGTTCTCCCAGCCGTTGTGGAAACCCTTCGGGGAACACTTGGTCACTTGGGGGAGGATGGCGGGGAAGATCGGGAGGAGGAGGAGGAGGAGGAGGAGGAGGAAGAGGAAGAGGAGGAGGAGGAGGAAGAGGAGGGGGGGGCATCTTGGGACCCTCTGGGGCACTCTTGCGGCCTCCTGGGAGCTTCCTGGGGGCTTCTTGGAGGCATTTTGACGGCCTCCTTGGGCCTCTTGGGGCCTTTGTGGGCTTCTTGGGGGCTTCTTTGGCTGTCTCAGGGCATTCATGGCCCGTCTGGCGCCGTCGGAATCCGTCTTGGGGGCCTTTCTGGGCCGACTCGGGGCCTCGGGGGCAGTCTTGGAGTCCATCTTGGGCGTCTGTCAAGCCTCTTGGGCCGTCTTATGGCTCTCTTGGGGCCGTCTTGGGGGCCTTCTGGGCCGTTCTGGGGCCATCTTGGAGGCCGTAAGGGTCATCTTGGGGCAATCTTTGGGGCCTGTTGGGCCGTCGGACGGCCGAAAAGAAGCAAGTGCCCAAATCCGGCAAAATCTTTGGTCAATCCAATGGGTTTGTCGTCTTCGGGCCCTCTTGGAGGACGTCTTGGAAGCCTATTGGGCTGTCTTGGAGGCCTTTTGGAGACCTCTGGGGCCGTCTTGGGCCGTATTGCAGGCTTCTTGGGCGAACTTAGAGGCATCGTGGACTCTCCATCTTGGGCGAACTTAGAGGCCATCTTGGCCGTCTTGGAGGCCACCTTGGACCGTCTTGGGGGACTTGTTCCTAACGTTGTGGTCGTTTGTGCGGCTTTCGGGTGGCCGGCGCGCTGTGCCGAAGCCCCAAGGGGAGTTCTTTTCGAAAACAACCAAAACCATCATCGGTAGGGTTTGGCACGCCAGGCACCCCTGTGGCAAGACCACAGGGGGCGGCGGATCGAAGATGCCTACGGCGAATCACCGCCGCCCCCTGCCTTTCGGAATCGCTCGAGCGTTGTGGCAAGCTATCGGGTCATGTGTTCCCCCAACCGTTGTAGAAACCCTGCGAGGAACTTTTGGGGGAGGATGGCGGGGAAGATCAGGAGGAGGAGGAGGAGGAGGAGGAGGAGGAGGAGAAGGAGGAGGAGGAGGAGGAGGAGGGGGGGGAGGGGGAGGAGGAGGAGGGGGCATCAATGATTTTGGCCTCTTCGGGCCTTCCTGGAGGCCCTCTTGGAGGCCTCTTGGGCCGTCTCGGGGGCCTCTTGGGCCGTCTTGGAAGCCATCTTGGGCGATCTTTGGGGGTTCTTGGGCCGTGTCGGAGCGTCGGAAAATCCAAGAAAAAGCAAGTACCCAAATCCGTCAAACATTAAAACAACTTAATAATTTTGGCCTTTTCTGGCCTTCCTGGAGGTCCTTTGGGGCTCTTGGGCAGTCTTGGAGGCCTCTTGGGGACCTCTTGGGCCGTCTCGGGCCATCTTTGGGCCATCTTGGGCCGTCGTGGTGGGCCCCTCTGACGCCTTCGGAAGCCGTCTTGGGGGCCTGTCTTGGCAGACTCGGGGTCCTCTTGGGGTGCTCGGGTGTTTTGGAGGCCTCTTGCGCCGTCTTGGAGCCCTCTTGGGGCATTTCTGTGGGCCTCTTGGGCCGTTCTGGGGCCATCTTGGAGGCCTCTTGGGTGATCTTTGGGGGCTCTTGGGCCATCTCGGGCCGTCGGAAACACCGAAAAGAAGTAAGTGCCCAAATCCGTCAAAAACCTACAGAAAATCATAATTGTTGTCTCTTCTGGGCTTCCTGGAGGACCTCTTTGAGGCCCTGTGGGCCGTCTGAAGGCTTCTCGGGCGGACTTGGAGGCAGTTTGAACCCTCCCAGGCTGTCTTGGAGGCCATCTTGGTCCATCTTGGCCCTCTTGGAGACCATCTTGAGCCGTCTTGGAGGATTGTTTCCGGATGCTGAGGTTGTTGTCGGGCAATCCGCGGGGCCGGCGCGTTGGGCCGAAGCCCCAGGCAGGGAGAGTGCTTTCGAAAGGAACCGAAGCCAAAGACCGTAGGATCTTGCACGTCAGGCACCCCTGTTGTGGGGAGAAAAAGATACGGATACGTGTTGTCCCCCTTCGTTTTCGGCCTTTCCTGGTCCTCCTGGGGAATCCTCGTTGTCACCGCTGGATTCGCCTCGAAATTCTGGTCAGAACGCACCCCAAGAGAGGTCCTGGGACAACACGTATCCGTATCTTTCCGCCCCCGAACTTGAGGCAAGACCACAAGGGGCGGCGGATCGAAGACGCCTACGGCGTCAGGCGCCCTCCGCCCCCTGCTCCTTTGGAAGCGCCTCTGTGGCCGACAGCTGGGCCAGAGCTTGGCCAAGCTATCTGGCCAGCTGTTCCCCGAGTCGGTTTGGAAAGACTTCGGGGGAACGCGTGGGGGAGCAAGAAGAGGAGGAGAGGGAGGAGGAGGAAAAAAGAGGAGGAGGAGGAGGAGGAGGAGGAGGAGGAGGAGGAGGAGGATGGGCGCCTCTTGGGCCCCTCTTGGGGCCTCCTGGGAGCTTCTTGGGGGCCTCTTGGAGGGTTTTGGGGGGCCTTTGGGCGTCTTGGAGGTCATAGGGAGCTTCCTAGAGGCCATCTTGGTCGTCTTGGAGGCCTCTTGGGCCGTTTTGGGGTCCTCTTGGGGCCGTCTTGAAGGCCTTTTGGGCCGTCATGGGGCCATCTTGGAGGCCTATTGGGCGATCTTGAGGGCCTCTTGCGCCGTCTTGAGCCGTCGGAATGTCGAGAAGAAGCAGATGCCAAAGTCTTTCAAAAACCAAAGGACAATCAATGATTTGGGTCTCTTGGAGCCCTGGAAGCTCTCCTGGACGCCTTTTGGGCCGTCTTGGAGGCCTCTAGGGGGGCCTCTTGAGTCGTCTTGGGCCATCTTGGGGCCATCTTAGGCCGTCTTTGGTGCATCTTGGGCCGTCTTGGAGGCATCTTGGGGCCATCGTAGCCGTCTTGGAGGCCATTCTGGGCGTCTTGGAGGCCTCTTGGGCCCTCTTGGGCCCGTCTTGGGGGCCTCTTCGGCCGTCATGGGGCATCTTGGAGGCCTCGTGGGCGATCTTGAGGACCTCTGGCGCCGTCTTGAGCCGTCGGAATGCCGAAACGAAGCGAATGCCAACATCCTTCAAAAACCTTAGGACCATCAATGATTTTGGCCTCTTCGGGCCCTCCTGGAGGACTTCTTGGAGGCCTCTTGGGCCGTCTTGGGGGCCCCTTGGGGTCCTCTTGGGCCGTCTTAGGCCATCTGCAGGCCATCTGAGGCCCTCTCGAGTGCATCTTGGGCCGTGTCGGAGGCATCTTGTGGCCATCTTCGCCGTCTTGGATGCATCTTGGCCGTCTTGGAGGCCTCTTGGGCCGTCTTGGGGCCCTCTTGGGG